CGTAGTCAATTTTTTCATTAACAAGGGACTTCAAAGAAAGGAAAAAGGGAAAAGGGGCACAGCATTGTTTCGAAATATAAAGACTCTACATTAATATAAATTCGGCAGTGAATCGACTTATCCTGAGCCAACCAGTCTCTATACATCCGGGATCCGCAAACTTTATCAGACATATCTGAAAAACGCTCCTTATAATCAAGAAGGACTACGAATGTCCGTATTTCCTTTTTCGTTTTTTCGGAAGTCCCAGCAAGAGCGATCTGCTACTATCATTGCGCACTCTATAGTCGAATGAGTTTCTTCACAATCTGAGCGTCGTAAACTTTTTACCACTATTTTAACAGCTTATCATATCGATAAAATTCCATTTGGATTCTGAATGCCACTATACAATTATTTAGGGATTTGGTAGTGATTTCTGCTTGCGAAATTCTTGTTATGATTATGGATGCCGTTTGTTGAATTACATCACTACTGCTGGTCTACTGGCTTTCCCGAATGATGTTTGACACCTTGAAATGCAAATCTTATCATAAACAGAAGTGTAGTGGGATTAAAATAGGCGAACAAAAGTCTGATAAACAATTTCTTGTAAGTTGTTAACTGACTGTAGCGGCAACCATTAACAGATCACGCATTGAAACATTAGAGCACACATTGGTGATAAAGAAAGAATAACACGAATATAACGAAGTCATTAGACCCTTGCTGCGTTTATGCATTGCTATAAATGCGTATCGTGGCACACATGATATGATAGGGAGTTAATGGTTTTTGCGAGTCAGGTCTTTTGATTAGTAAATCCCTGAGAGATGTGTCATGCATTCTACACCATAAAATACCGTTCAGGTGATTGTTTGCATATCTGGCCTAGACAGTGTCATGTGAGATCCATCATTGATGAATGGAGTCAATGTTTTCGTTCTCCTAAATGAGTCTTCTACTAGCTTTCGAAGCTCGAGGAGAAAAGGTCTTGGTGAGCGCGGGCACCGCCTTGAACCAGGGAGCGATCCGGTACATTACAGAACTTAGCGCCACTGTACATACACTACACCAAACCCGCTTAGACAGCATGTATTGAATTATGCATTCTTATGCTGTGAAAGTGAGTTATGAAACGCGCTTTCAATCTCAGGGATCTCCACTAAAGCATAGAGAACGTAGGTTTCCAAATTTGTATGAGATTAGCTGACCTATACTCGAATCTGGCAACCATTAGTGATGAGGAATCGGAAAACTCTTGAACCAGCTCTTCAGGATCCCACAATAGTCAACTTAACCAGCATTCGTGAGCATGGTATGGAAGACCAAAACTCAGATAGCCGAATCCATGCGGAAATCCGTGACCTTCATCGATCATGTTGGTTAGGAAAAGAATAGAATGTAGTTTTCGGATCACACAATATGTGACTCTGGCTATGTGAAATAAGGAAATTGCCGAAAACATCAAGTTTTGCTTGTTTACTCCATGTGAAGATGTAAGTCATGTATCTCTCCCTATGCTTAGTCGTCATTTCTATTACTTAAACGACCCAGCATCACATGATTGTGAACACGGGCACTTTTCGTTTTGTTCGATACCTCATATCTGTCATCTACGATATTTCGGGATATGTGTGTTAGGCTCGACTGTCATTTGAGGAATCTGTTCTCATGAATGCCGTTGTATGCAAGTTAGAATAATTCTAAGTTCTAGAATATAACTAGTAGAGCGCTTTCTTATCTTCACGAGAAAGAAGTTCGCCAGCTTTGAGAATACGAAGTCTTTCGTTCAGTTTGGCAAAAATTTGCCGGTGCATCGGATGCGTGGCTGGTCAGGAACCGGTCGAAATGCAGACAATAAGTGTATTATCGTTACCATATTTCTATCTCACAAGCATCGCCGTGTCTCCTTCTTTCCCTAGGAATTCCCTGTTGGTGTTAAAATTGATCAAGCCGCGATAACGATATTCTGCTGCACTCACTCCCGCTTAGTTCTCTCATTCTCTTTCACATCAGACATCAACGATCACTATGGTGTTGCCAATTCTGACAAGCATTCACAAGCCATATTAACGAACTGAGTAAAATGGGTTCATTACAAATTATCCAATATAGGTAGCAGTAAGCTTCGTCAAGACCCGACAGAGCAATTGTAATTGAAAGAAAAAACTGAGCTCACAGATGATTGACACATGCCAGAACCGTTGTGAAACATTTGAAAGTTATGAAAATGAGTGTTTCGTAGCAAAGAGTGAGTGGCCATTTCAAGGGAATGAAAGTTCCATCTAAGCTAATAATAGAGTAATAGATGCATCTAAAAGGGCAATCCGTAAAGTGTGACTTGCGTCTATGGCGAACGGCTTGAATGCTACAATGCAATTCCGAAGCATTCAATTAGCAGCTATGAGTCTTTGTTGAGATGAAGAAAGACACATTTTTAGCTATGTCAACTCTTTAGTGCAGGTAATCTAACTATCGATTCCGGTCTTTAGATCATCCGTGAGCGGTCGGTTGATTTTCTTTCCTATTTTTGCTTTTGATTTCGGCTTAACATCATCTCCGAGTCAACAAGTAGGAAGCCCGACCAATGCTCCATTGCCGAAATTCACTCCTTGGAAACGACATCTGAAGACCTAAAAAACGACCCTGCAAGGTTACTTCGGAAAACCAAGGAATGTCATAAGCACGACCAGCAACACGCCATTTGGAATAGGTGCTGGAGTCCACACACTAGTGAAGACGAACTAAGTATCTAAGTACTAAGTAAATAGTAGTAAGTAAGTGAGTAAGTGAGTAAGTGAGTAAATCTGACTATCTCTTGCATCAACGACAGTGGTAATGAAACATCGTAAGTGGAAAGAAAAGCTACTGTAATACTCATTTTTTTTTTCGAATAAGAAGTCGACCAATCAACCAAGGAGAAGATACTAAGCTAATTACCGTTATTGCCCTTAGTACACTGTATAGAACACATATAAATGCGCACATCCAATTTGTGCAACAACCGCTTGAGTTTACGTCTAAACTTGAGCGTATTTAGATAAAGATTTGTTCCAAAAACATTTCCTTTGTAGATCATAAAGTGTGATGTAGATTTCCTAGGACCGACTACGTATAGACCACGATGCGGATTGAGTAATTCAGTATATTTACTTTTCAAGCATATCTGAGATTGTAATTACGAATTATTAAATGCAAGGGGCGCCGTGACCAAGTGGTTGTGATACTCGCCACAGCACGCGCGGCCTGAAACCTCGCCCTCAGCACTCTCCGGCAGTGAACAACAAGCGCCCTATGGGCGTCGCAGTCAGGCTATGATCGAGATTGCAAGTGGCAAGCTTAACCAGAATCTAATCAAAAAGGAAAACGGAAAACGTATGCTAAAAGTACTGTGATCCATACGGTCAAAAACACTGTGGAGACGAACCGAATAAAAAAAAAGTTAATAAATACACTAATATCATACTGTGTTATTGTTACTTGCAATTGTATTATTAAAAACTCGGATCTGCTTGGAAACCAAGATGCTACTGTATAATACGATTAATAATAGCGCTTCATGGCCACGTGAATTGTGTTCGTGTTTTTGAAATGTGTAAAGGTGTATCAATGAAAATTTTGGAAAACTGGAACACTGTTCATAAGTTCGCGGTAAATGCTTTCCCTCCTTTTCATGGTTCACTCGGATCTTTTCGTTCTTGCTTACAGAGAAATCCAGTAAGCAAGCAAATCATTAGCTCCTACAAATAAGGTGATGTTAGTGGCCGACCACTATTCGAGCGAAGGGCTTGACGCTAGTCATTCTTCAATGGAATAGGGTAGGTCACAAAATTGCGCAACTGGGTGATATAGTCGTGCCTGTATGCGCTACCGGTGGTTATAGAGGGACATCGGAGTAGAAAGCGCGCCAGTTGATCGGCCAAATACTCCGAAATGTAGATTAACTAAATAGGAACTATGTATATAAAACTGATGAAAAAGAGACTATCCTTTACCCGGTCAGATTAGTCTATGAAAAGCGGAGATACACGGGGCGCAGAACAGCATCTCTATTTTCTATTTTACTAGAGCGGAACCTGAGAAGTAAGTTTTGTTAATATCTCAAACTGGTGAAGACGATAGTCGCCATATTATATTAGAAGAAGCTGGTACCTTTATTAACTTCTAGCCTTCATAATAAGCCAAGTTATCTCGCCATAAATTAATTCCACTCATTTCATTAATTTTAGATAGGACGCAGACACATACCGGAGAGGAATTTGAAGTAGAGTCATTTTACTCGCACAGAAATATAAAATCTAATCACTTGAGATTCTTGAGGTATTTTGATAGATTCCATAAAACCAATCATGAGCAGTAGAGAAGAATGCCTCTTTATTACACGAACTTGAACATAGTAGACTGTTGTTTTAATGTGATGGTACATCGACAGCTAATGAGAACATTGCGTACTTAGTTTCCATTTGTTGAACTTAGTCGAAAATACAGAGAAACCAGTGCGTGGTGAAGTTGCTTTGTTCTTAATAGAGGGTGAAGTCTTAATTTGTGATTATTTTCTTTTGAAATTATGGGGCGATTAGCTAAGTGGGCTGTTGCCAAACCTTATCTTTCTGAGCTCTGAAAAACGCTATTCGTCGAAACGTCATCTGTCTAAATGAATTTCAGCATAACACTCAAGTGAAACGAGTTTGCTTCTGCGTTAGCCGCGATTCGAACCCAGATCTCACTCTTACCGGTGGTGCAACGATTCAACACACGCTCCCCGAATGAATGAAATATGGCTTCGGAATCCCGGCTGAAGCAATGTTTTTTGTTCAGCACTTTACATTATCGGTGTATATTATAAGATCATACCACCGCAAGAGGCGGTTATTCAGATGAATTTCCATTGATTATTGACATCCAAAATCTGTCGGCATTAACGGGTTCAAGCCTATAGCGACTGCGCCGCCAGACCGTCGACGATTGGCTGTTGACAGATAACGCGTTATAGCGTAGAAAGAGTGGAGTACAAAATAGCGTCGGTAGTGCAACGGTTCAGCACACGCTCCCGGAAAGAAGTGAGATCTGGGTTTGAATCCCGGTCGGCGCAGATATTTTTGTACAGTATTCTACGTTATTGGGTATATTATGAGATTATACACCGCAAGAGGCGGTCAAATGAATGAATTTCGATTGAAGTTGTTTTTGTTTGTACTTCGGTTATTTATTAGTGAATGGGGAAAACAAAGATAGCATTTGCGTGCGTGATATAACTACTATACACCAATTTTAGAATAACTGCTATAGTAATTCAATATATTTTGATGGATGAAGCCTTTTCGAGGTTTAATACGGTCAGTGGCTTACGTATGTTTCAGCTGCATCGCCATCATCAGACCACGCGCCTCATAGAAGGCTACCGGTGCGTGCTTCAGTGCTAATGTGATGATATTCCAGTAAAATATTTATTTGTCCGTCAAGAAATAATGTTGTGAGAACAGTAGTGAGTAAATAGTCAAATATGATTCAAAGAACGTCAATAAAGTTATTTGAATGAAAGCAGTATGAATATTTCTTCTATAGCCCGCACTTTCGAGAAGGAAAAGCCAGCACTTACGAAAAAGCTATATCTAAAACTTTTAACGAGCATTTCTATACTATGTTATCTATACTTATCCACATTCAGTCATATTTAATCTCTTATTTCTATTTTCTCCTTTCTATTTCGCCATTCATATACTCATAGTGCATATTAAACACAAAGCTGATCATTGTCAATATAAATCACAAAAACAGGGAATGGATCGTCAAAATGATGCTGCTCATCTCATGCTATCGCATTTCATCGATGACTCTCATGACTCGTGACCGATGCATCGATAACTTTTTGATTGTTAGTGTACTTCTGGAGTTGGAATCTCACTGAATTATAGAAAAGACGCTGTTCCATTGTTGAATGGGTGACCAACTCCTTATTATTCGTTCATTCCGTCCGACGAGCACATTTCTCGCTGCTATTTCGACACTGGATATCACGTGCCGATTTTACACGCTCTACACAGTTCTTCCTAGTCGAATATCACTTTGTGTTTCCTATGCCTCTTCCAGTTCCCGTTTCTTACATAGCTTCATTAAGAACAACTTCAACCAACTGCAACCATCCATTAGTTCACCGGAAGTCCTAGTCAGCTACCTGTTTGTGATACGTGAACACTCAACTAATATCAATATGAGTGATTTATTTTCGGTGTCACGTATATAAACGCGTAGTTTCAGTCGAATTCTTTGTTTATAGCCATGGTATGCGAAGATAAGTTGACAGAGGGACACTTATAATTACGGAAGAACATCTACATTTTGGGAAAACCAGCAGTTAATGCAAATTTCGTATCTGATCGTTGTTTCGACACACCAAGACTTTGCCCTCAGTTAGGTACACACATTAATTTTTCTCTGACAGTTAATGCAAGTGCCTATATAAAGTGTTGGAGTGGTTGGTGTACGAAGCTCATAAAAACGATGGTTCCACTTTTGCAACAAGATAACCTTACCACTATATATCTTAGGGAAACTATGTTCCAACACAGTTGCACCTTGTACAGAAAGCAGACATTGTGTTGTTGGTGGTGACTGTAGATGTCCTTCTGAAAGTGTACTGTGAATATCGCTGTGTGACATTATGATGAAATTGATGCAAGAATGTAGCTTAGATGAGAAGTACGTTTGCATAGAATGTTTTTCACTTTTCATCTAAACTTTACTCCTAAACTAGCTGAACACTCTCATAGGAATTGTATATTCTAGGTGTGAGTTTCATATTGCATACTGTAGACTGCTCTGGTTTAATAGCCTTTGGGATATGAAGGCAGGAAATTTATTAGGATGGGTAAAATGGTTGATGCGTGCATAATGTACGAATGTGCAAATCGTATCAGGATGTAAAGATACGAAATGTGTTGGTCGGTGTTGATTTTTAGGGATTGATTGCTTTCTAATATGTTGCTTATACAGGTGGTTATTGCTGGATAAATATACCACTAAAATGATAAACAATATCCGTATTGTGTAAAATTTGGCTTGAAATCATGAATTTTTTTTTTCAAAATAATTGCAAGCGTGTTTTCCCAAGGAGGTAGCTCTCATACTGGAATTCAACGACTTAACAATCAAGCGTGCTTTTCACTTAAACTACGTGCAGGAGATGTTCTTCCTGGATGCCAAGAGTGGTAGTAGAATCTCCATTTTACGAGCATCGAATGGTACTAATAATCTGATGGGATAGCTCTTTTTTGGGAAAAAAATTCAGGGGTTCACAGGACAATCTTTGAAATGCTATTGTATGAGACAGAAATTGTAGTTAAAAGTAGGGATTTTTAAGACAATTGGGAGCTAATCTTATTGAAAAATACATTTATTACAGGGACCCTCCAATGCTAACTTGATGCTTTTGCGGTGAAGTTTTTTTGAGAATCAAAATCGTATAATACCAGAAAAAAATCCGCTGTAAAGCAGAAAAATCAAATTGCGACTGCGAAACGTTCTCATTTTTCAGTGAGATGCACTGTGGAAATCTTTCCCTACAACAGTTCATAATTTTCCATGTTATCACTTGGCTGCCAAATATTTATAAATTAAGGAAAATGTTCAGTTAAAAATTGGAAATATGCTTCTTTTCCTAGAGATGTAGCTCTCCCTTTAGAAAAATGCAGAGATTCAGTCAGCATTGGATCTGATTTTACTAGAACTGCTCATGAATACCTGAGATTGAAGATATCAAATGATCACTAACACTCTTATGCAAAGTTCTTGTCCAGCGAAAGGGTTTCTTTCTTCATTTGTTCCTGGATAATAGATAGTAATCCTCTTATTTAATGGCTCTTAACAAATAGAAAAAGTGGTGATCTTCCATGAGCTCTTTTTCTTAAAGCTTTTTCTTATTTTATAGCCTATTTTCAACATAATCGTGACCATACGTATTATATCCACAGAATTTATGTTATTCGAGAGTTGGTAAATTATGGTTCCAATACAGCGGTTTATCAGTGTAGGTTCAGAGATCAGTTGAAATCCCGAGTTTCGTTGGTATCTCAGCATCGTTATGCTTGTATATCTCATATCCTACCTGTCATGAAAAGGAATACGCTACGTGAATAAAAGCCAAAGCATGCATGTTGCATGTAATTTTTCGCCTTACTGAAGTTTTTATTTCACCTCAGGTTTTTTCCTGTACTTCCTTAGCGTAATCGATAATTTACTAAGCACATGAATCCTAGCCAGAGAAACTTATATAAAACGTATGCCTCTCACAAAAGCTAATCTTCGATCGAAAATTCGTCATAATGAGTGACCGCGGCAGGAGGAAGCTAATAGGGTGTTATCGTCACGTTTTCACCCTTCTCAGAGGCGTAATAATTCGAGTCCGATGGAGTGCCAATGGAATAACGTAACGGGCCCTCGTCGATGTCGATTTACATAGGGCAGTTGTTACTTGACTTGTCGGCTTACATTAATGTCTTCCCCTGGTCAATGAAACGAATAACCTCGAAACAAGCCGAGTGTAAATTGCACAGCAACCTCGTGTATGAAATAATCGAAAACCAACATCAGGAGGAGAAGCGGTTGCGGACAAATCGACTTCAATTATTGCTCTTCTGAAAAAGACGAAGACATCAAGTCGTTAGTAAATCGACATCTTTGGTGCCATAATAGAAGCCTTTACCGACTCTTATCAAATCGAGATCTAATACTTGAAGCTTGCTGTTCAGCAAGTAAAAAGATAACTTTTCTGAGCAAGCTTTGTTCAGTGTGAAGTGCATTGTACCACTGATGGAAATGATAAGTGAGGCTTCAAATTCCGCTCATTTCCAATGTCAGAGAACATTGTCTGACACGAAACAATAATCTCAGTTTTATCGGTATTTTACGCTGGCAAGAAGTTGATAGCACCGACGATGCCGTAGAAATTTCTCCCCCCGTCATGAAATCTTCTTCAAAGCTGAGTCAGCGGTTTCCTGTTGTTTTTAGTTGAACCGCTGAACGCCGAACAATTTCGTTCAGTGTTCTCTCTATATTATAAGAAGTAGTGTAGTAAACCGTCCAATGTTAACCAGAGCAAAAAAAAATCCAATAGTTGGCGTAAGCGAGTTTCAGCCATGAATCTTGCAAGTACCCGAAACCATCTCATAAAACTTTATTCATTACGCCTAATGATCTGAAGCATGTGTGGAACCGTACAGATTGTTACTTTTTTAGAAACAGTATAAATGCTTGCCGTCATGAAAATAATCCCTCTGCCGGTTTTTTAACTTTTTCGGTTGATTGAGGTGATAAATAATATGTTCAAATAGCGTTGCACCTCATCGACTGTTTCTCGACCTCGCTATAAACATTCATTATAGTCTGAAAGATTAAAGCATTCGCGAAAATGTTACGTCATAGCCATACAAGTGTTTCAGTGGTATCACCCTCCTCATTAGTGCCCCCGCCCCACAATAAGCTCTACTTTGTAGCGTAACAACCTCGGTAATGTCTTAAACATTATTCAGGTTGTATTGCATGTTTAAAGTGAAGTTAAAAGATAGTTGATGAGGTGGATCAAGGTTCATCTACCACTGCAACCCATCATCTGAAAATGGTGATATTACAATGTTATTGTACGTTGTGCTACCACCACATACGTCTTTCCTCTCTGCTACGAAGTAGAGTTCAGTGTGAAGCGGAGGCATAATGAAGAGGACGATACCTCTGAAACACGTGCATCCCCGACTAACAACCTCTGTAAGGTTTTGACATTCTTTCAGATCATATCAAATAGCTTTTGTTAGCAAATCAAAGAAGAAATTGGGAAATTCTCAGTATGAAATACTGCGTATCATGTAATAAAACGAGCAGATGCACATTTACTTTTAATAAACAGTAGTCGCACTGATTGCTAGTGCAAAGGTTTGGAAACGCGACCATAACGTTTGCCTAAGTTTCACTGACAGCTCGACACAATATTAATAAATTCCAACGTCCTAGTGGCTGAGACGACTTTTGATCCTCTTGCAACAAACATTATATATATATATATATATTGTATATATATATATATATATATATATATATATA